GACACTAGGTTTTAAATCATCCATATGTAGGGTTTATTAAACTATTTTTAAAAGAAACAATGTAAACAAAATATTTTTCCTCTATGAAGTTTCTTTAAGCTCATTGCAGTACTTCTGTGTATAATTTAGACTAATCTCAGTGGGTTTTGCGGGTCATTCACACAGAAATAAGAGACAAATAGTCTTCTTATAGCAAAATGAGACAAAACTACAAAACCACAAAAATAAATCTCATTCACAAAACAATAAAATGTACTTTAAATTTTTTTTAATTAATTATGTCAAGGATTTTCATCTACGAGCTCTTACAGTGTCTCATCCTCCCCGTAACAGCAAATAACAAATGGAGGGAGAATGGCATGCAAGAACTATAACCTTAATAAGACTGAAAAAGTAAAAAAAGCTGGTAAATTCCCAATACTGACAATGTCTCCCATTAAAAGTATTTCCCTTCTCTGGAACTTCACATTACTTCCACTGAAGTCATGCTATTCTCTTGGAATGGTAGGCTACTTCACAGTATGTGCTGCTCATAATGGTTTCTCTCCAAAAGACAACAATAAAAACCCTTAAATAGTACATATAAATGCTACGAATAATGCCTTGAAAGATGAATACAGAAAAGAAGGGAGTTTTATTCCCACTCCTCCCTCCTTCAAGACAGAGATGGTTTTATCTACAGAGCTTGGTCACAATGGCGGTCAGTATCGATTCTAAAAAACGAAACCGTAGAAAGATAGATTTCTTGCAGAATGAAGTAATTTAATCTGTTAGCTCGTCAACGTCCTTGTTTCCACAGACATCACTACTCTGTCATAGCAGTAGCACACATACATAGCAAGACATGTAATAGTAAAAATCATCTGGATCTCATGCTGCCCTTCTGGTCACTTCCATTTACACTTGCCGCACAAAGGGTATTGAGAGAGAAGAGCTCCACAGATGACGAGACCATCCTCCTTCTCGTACCACAGAAAATGCAGACATACGACACTCATGAATCGTACGAAAGGAGCAGAAAAAGTGAACATGTGCCGTCTGCCAACAAACCTGCCTGATACAGCCAGTGCCATCTCTTCCAAAGGCTGGCAGATGCCCACTCAAGGCATTCATGCAACTGCGGTTTCGCACGCCCTCCTGCGGACCGAGTATGTCTCTTATGGATTAGAACGGATGCTTTGGATGTGATGTGCTCATGCAAAAACAACTGTGCAAATAGGGCTGACATTGGGTTTGGGGTTTTGCTCCTATTTCTATGTAAATTTCTTTCTTTTTAACGCATTTTTTGCTTTCTCCACACTTAATAAGCCAAGGGATTCAAAAAGACCAATCAAACCTGTTTTGTCCCAAAAACTTCATTCTTCAAGCAGTCAGTCCTATTGCAACAGCTTTAATTTAGCCTGATTTCCAACGGAAAATGCAAAAAATTCTACACTGCAAAATTCTTCCAGAACTTTTGAATTCAACTCATTTCAATCAAAATGAGAGGTTAACGGCCTGAAAGAAACCAGGTTCCTACAACTCCAATGAAAACACGTAGCAAAGGAGAAAAATGCTATTGATACTTTGATGATTTATGCAGAAAGCACAATCAATATCAGGCACTAGGGAACCCACCTGAGAGAGCAGCATCATGAATGTCTCTTCTGCAAGACCATTGTTTAGCAACAAGAAAGTCCACAGGAAATGAGGCTTTACTAACCATGCTGTTCAAAAAACTACTTACAATATCCATAAGAAAGTTGGCTTCTTATTTGTTGAACCATCTTTTCTTTGTGCATTTCTTTTTCCTTGCAATTGAATTGTCTGATTCTGATAGTTATATACATTTCACTAAGTTCCTAGACACTGATACACATTCTTTAACAAATCTCAGGAGTTTTGACTTTGTTTCCCTGCGTTTTGTTCTTCTATGCCTGCTTCGGTTCCCTTGGAGGGCAGAACATGCACCACAGTAGGAATTTTGATGACTTTTGTGCCCCAGGGGCTCACAGGCTTGCCCATGTCCTTTTACAATAAATGCAAACAAACCATCAGTTAACAGACAGCTGCAACATCCTTCCAAAAGAACAACCTTTAAAAATATTGTTTACTTGTCTGAACACAAGATATCCTCCTACCCTTCAAAATAAGCAAATGATTGATGGGTAGGCAAAAGCATTTGCTTTGACAGAATCAGACTGACATCAGTTTTCATGTTCTCTGCTGTCTGAACAGTATCAAGCTGATCAGATTTGTAATTCTCCTGAAGCACAACAAGCCAAGCAAAAAAAACTCAATCCTTTCCTACACTGGACTTGTTGATTTGTCCAATGTAAGTCAGTGAGTAACAAATTCAACTATGACAAAAATCCATTGATAAGCTGCCTTTTATAACTTCTGAAATACAGAAATTATGTAGCTTCTTACAACTTCATTTGGCAAGAAGATGAGCACAGATCAGAAGGGAGCTGCAACTTACCCAATTGCCATCTGCTCTTTAACTTTTTTTACTTTTGTAATTGGCTGTTGCAGAACACTAGCTCTGACCAAACAGTTAACCAAGAAGGCATCGGGCAATAATATTCAAGAAAATACATGACGTTATATCCAAGTGCAACTGGCAACCACTGACACTACAAATGGCTTTTCTTAAGCAGCTAATCACTGGAGCTGTTACAACAGGGTGGAAAAGCTGGAGAGTCTGCACCTAATCTTGCAAGACAGATGACCACAACAATCGCATGTCTCAATTATTTTTGCAGTCACACGCAATTTGACATCACATGATTTGATACACTACTCAACCCAATTCCCAAAATCAACACACAGCATATACGATTGATTTTTATGCATGTTGGATAAGGCCCCGGCTAGACTTCTAAGGGCCAAGACTGTGATATAGGTTGTGCTGAAGTACCTTACTATTCTCTTTCCAGAGATGTGGAGCATTTTAAAGTGAAGACCTGGCTGAGGACAAAAAAATTCACCTAGCAAAACTTTACAACATTTAGATTTGCAGAGAGATAGTGATTACATTTTCTTACACTGTACAGGCATTTTCTTGGGTTTGATACTTGTCAGATCTATCACATAGTATAAGGAGAGAGTCTCTGCATCTTTTCAAGACTTTACACTCCACTGACACACAATTGTCAACATAGATATTTTAACTGAGAATAGCTCAATTCTGAAAAATATAATTTAAAATATACGTTATTTTAATATTTTAAAGATATTTCTGTTTTGTTCTTCTTTGTAAACGTAAAAATTCAGCTCTGCATACACTTAAAATCATAGAAAATTAGATTTCCTTTCTCTCAGGAAGCCATTTCACAATAATATAGAACAGATTTGTAAAACCTGTTTAACCCATTTAACCCACTATGTTTTCTACTGTGCCTGAAATACCGTATGTGCTACACATGAAAGACTCATTAAGAAGACCTTTTGCTACTGTCTCATTAAATCAGCCTCAGTGCATAAAATAACATATGTATTTGAGACACTCCATATTAGGAAAATTACCAAACTCCTTAAAAACTTAAGAAATTTTCAGAGTCTACAACTCTTTATGCATTTGGTATCTCAAATAGTAAAACCTAAAAATCTTAATAGTTTGCTTTTTTCTAGTATACATAAAGAAACAGGTACGAACTCATGGTCTGAGCATGAAACTGGAAATCAAAATGTTTTACATAATGATTTGCCAAACCAAAATGTTTTACATAATGATTTGCCAAACCACACTAAGGGAACTTTCCAAACCGTACCAGTCTTCCCTCAGTACAACGGAGATACATTAATTTACACTGAATTGATCGAATCTATTCAGTTAACAAAGAATACATGAGACATTTGGCTTCCAAGAGTGAGTTTTAGATAGCAGTAAAACACGTTAAGTTACATGCTAAAGCCAAAGGAAATGGCATTGCTAGTTACTGAGAAGCTCATGACTTCAAAATTTTTACTACTGGACAATTTATCTAGTCTTGCTAGAGAATGGTATCAGGTGAAATAGAAATCAAAGGATATTAATAATTAATCATAAGAAATAAGTATACAATTCTCCCTAGGCAAACAGAACTTGCACAACCTAATCTGTAAAAATGCTGTATATAATTTGTAACATCATACTGAAGTAAAACAGACTAGTAATAAAAAATTTTTAAGCTAGCCAACACCACTGACCAATCAAAAAAAAAAAAAAAAGGCTAAAAGGCTAAAGGTAGGGAAATTTTAATAGGGAGTTATAACTTACCAGCTTCTAAAATGACAGGAGACTTGACAGAAGTCTTGAGAGACAGAAGACTGAAGTCTGTATATATACTGCTCTGACAGTTTAATTGAACCCAAGATATCTTAAGATGCACAGACAGTAGAACCAGATAAAGTGCAACAAGGAATCTGTAAACTATCAAAGAAACTATTACAACTGGCTTTACCTTAGCTTTTTAATGAATTTAAATTCTCTTCTTGGCTGCCTTTATACATTTTACAATCAAAACTAACATTCAAAAAGACACTTCTAAGCTTTTTCAGGCCTCAAGTGACATGAACTTTTTCTTTAAATCAACAGTCTAGCATTTATAGTCAAATAAACAGAGAAGGAAGTTAGCAGATGAACACCTAAAGGATATTAAGTATACGCTGTCCTCACATAGTCAAATCTGTGGTTGCTATGCTTTATACAGAAATATCTTCATATAAGCTTTCAAAGCAAAATTAATCATGCTTTCTAGCAGGCCATTATGAAAAACACTACCATGGCAGATAAAAAACAAACCACTGAAAAACAGGGATTGCAAAACAGAGTCTAACTAGAAGTCTATTATTTTAACATGATTTATTCCCAATCTCTCATGCTTGTCATGCAATTATCACAATTAACTCCATGTTCCTTGTGAAAAGTTATCAATACAGAAATTTCAAAAACTTATCAATTCTTAATGTATGAAATGCCTTCTCCTTCTTTCAGGAGGATGGCTACTTCTGGCATTTTTTGCAGAAAAGCTTTAACATTGTTTGCCAAATTAGTCCTTCAGCATCTTATCTTCCATCAGCATCCGCAGTCAACTACTGCTTTGGTCAGAGTCCAGAGTTTTCTTTTAGTTTTAAGAGAGGAGGCACAAACTCAGAGAAAATAGTTGTAAGTCCTGCAGCTTCAAATTCCTTTTGTAGCTCATCCAGTGTTGAATATTCTTCGACTTCAAACGTCTGAAACCTACATTGTAAAAGGGAAACTCATGAATATGCCTAGATTTGTCAGAATGTAATTATCGATTCTGTTACTTTTCTATCCACAACAGTACTAAATTATACCTTTTATGCTGTGACTGTACTTTTGTCTCACATAGTACACTAATCATTTTCTCTTTGCATTTCTTTCCACTTGAGTCCACATCTACCTTAGAAGTTTTCTGAAGAATCAAGTACTCCTAAATGACAAAAAAAAGAACAAAATATTAAATGCCACCTAGAATCTTTGAAGTTTAGTAAAATGCAAAAATCTGTAAGAAACAGATTTTTTTTTCAGAACATAGCAATCAAACTTTGAAAGTACCATCCCAAAAAGTGTCTGTCTGTTTCTACTCATCAGCTTGAAGTTAAGCATAGTCTTAAGTGATGTAGAGAACATGAGTTTGAAAAGTCAAAACATTCTCCTCCAATATCACCACAAAAACCTGCCTAATGCAGCATGAGTTCGTAAGTACAGACAAGAAGTTCAAAGCCCAGGCACATACTAGAAGCACCATGCGGTCTAAGTCAAGGAAAGAGACAGTTAGTAATAAGCTAGAAATATGTCTGTTATTAATTTCTCATCACAAATTTTCTATTTTTTGGAGCATTTGGGAAACACAGGAGGCTGAACCTAGGCATATTACAGTCAGGAAACACAGGGAATACAGGGGTATAATTACAGTGGGAAGCAAAGCAATACAGGTCACAGGTCTACAGGTATCACTGGTTTCCTTCTCAAGCGTACCTTCTTTTTCTTAAATATAGAATAAAGTTGTTGGGCCTTCCTACTCTCCTAATGATCAATCTGCTTCCAAAATTGTTAATCTTAGAAAAACACACACAAAATATTCAGGCACATAGGTTTCAGTGGTAAATCAATAGAACTAGTCAACATTCATTGTTCCCGCACCTTAATGTTGCTCCTGTCACCCTGAAGAAGAATCAATATTATCTTGCCCCTGAACATCAGTCTTCCAGTCAGCCTTAGATCTGAAGCCCATTTTTCCACAGTTTTGACGTATCTTGCCTTTGCTCTCATGTGATCTAAATGCAAAAGGAGCATCCAGATACCATCATCCTCTGTACTTGTTCCTTTTGACAAAGTAGCTTTTTCATTGCAAACTGTTGCTGATTGCTTAATGACATATTTAAGATGCTGCTGTATCCAAAGAATCAGATCATGCACCATGGGTTCAGAAAGATGCTTCTTTGCTTGTTCAAGTAATTTATCTTTCACGTCCATACATTGGGCCCGTGTAAGCTGGTCTGAACTAACAGAAATATCTGGTAGAGTTGATGGATAATTAACTGGTAAATGAAGTAAGAGCTTTAAAAGCACATCTGTACCCAGCAGTTCTTTCGCGGTGATTTGAATTCTAAATGTGATTCCATGCGTCTCTGGAAAGTACCAAAAAATAAATATTAATAGTTTGCTCGAAGTTGCCATACATATACATTATTAAGTCATGCTATTTTCTTTAACAATTCAGCTCAAATGACTGTCATTCTATATAAAACAAGCAGTGCGGATTTTTTTGCGGGGTGGGGGATTGCAACCAATGGCTCAAGCAATACTTGACTTGCGGGAAATCCTGAAATGAAATGAAACACTTCCATATCATACTAGAAGGAAAGTTATTAACACATTCTAAAAAGCATTCACACCTTTTGGTTCTTTCAAAGTCTAGACAAGCCAGTAATAAAGAACTGTCTCTCTTACAAACACGTAAGTCAGTTTCTACAGCTCAACAGCAGCAGCAAGGACAACCAAAAAGAGGTTTTTCAGGATGGATTCAGCACTGCCCTAACTTTGCTCCTAGAGAAGTCTGTAAGACTTCTTACATCAACACTAGCACGAGGCAAATAGACTTGTACTGAGTATTTTTTAAGACAACCCCTCAAAAGCAGTTCCACTCTTAAAGAGAGACTTGGAAAGAAAAAAGTCAAATTCTTTGTCTCCTACAACTTTCAGAGAAAATGCATTTAATTCTTTTCTGCCAACTTCTCTGCATTTACAACAGTCGGACTGATATAATGAAAACATCTCTGTTGTACATCTGACCCTTGATATTCACATATATATATATGCCTATACTTATGAAAATATATGTGTATACATGTGCATATCTACTCAAAACTTGTTGTTGGTCTACTTTAGAATAGAATTATTTTCAGAGTGAAAAGGACACATACAGTATGTAGCAGGAAGGGCAAAAGACCACATCCTCCTGACAAATCACATAATCAAAGATGCTGAATATTAAAGTTATGTACAGTAGTTCCTACAATAAAACCTTCTTGACTAAAACATATTTCACAGAAAAACAATACAGAAGTTCATAAAGTGAAAAGCGGGGACAAAGACCTAACCTACTTTTGCTCCTCTGCCAGGAAGAAAAAGGGTATCAGATAAAAGATGATCTTCTTCAGATGTTCTCTGCTTCACCCCTTTGATGCATTCGAAACACTTCACCCCTTTTCTTTAAAAAATTGTTAAAATGTCAGGTTGATTCACTGTTAGGAGGGCAGGACAAGCCAGATTTGAAAGGCAGATTAGAGCAGAGCTGAGTTTCAGAGGAGCTCTTTTGAAGTGACTTGCCGTCTTATCCCCCTGCCTTATCTTACCTTCCTTTATGTGGCAGTTAGTTGAATTATGTTTGATTAGTATTGCTGATGCCGCTAACCAACCCCAGTGCTCTCTATGATTTTACATTTGAACCCTACTAAATAAGTGAAAGAACCTAAAAGTGACTTAGACAGACAGAAGCACTTTAGAGAGCTTAGCCAAGGGCTTGTTTCCAAACCTCCTTGCTGGTCATACGAAGAACTCTCTAGGTGAGAGCAGGCACAAAATAAAATAAGCAAACCCTTCAAACCCAATAATCAAACTCTAGCGCTACTATAAAGAAGTCCCCGAACATCTACAAAACTTCGCTACCTAAACAGAGTCAAATCCAGTGCTGAAAGCAGTGGACGCAAATCCAGTGAATTAAATGAAATTACACCCAACCATGTCCACACCCACAGGAACTACATGTCAAAGCCTCGTTCCCTACCAACAGGAGTTGGTCTCCAGTCTTCTAAGACCCTATGAAAGTTTCCAGACTATTTTTAAGGCAAGTTTATTCCTCAGAAACGCACCAGCCTTGGAAGAGACTCCAGTCACCATAGTGTCCATCTGGCAGCACGTGGCACTCACTCACGTGCAGTAGCTATGCAGGAGGACCTCAAGCCTTCCCTTTCCAATCTCTGTCTTCTGCTGCCCTAGCAAACATTCCTTACTGGGCACCAGCAATGACAGCTCCTCTGCCATTATGCCAGGCTCAGTACACACACACACAAAAGAAGAAAAGCCCTCCTGGACTCCCAGCACCCTCTTGGCCACCATGGAGGGTCTCCACACACATCTGACCATGGCACAGTCAACAAGAAATTTTAAAATGCACAGTCGATCAATGAGTTGAAGAATACCACTCTATTGCCAGCTTACTTACAGTGACAGAAAAACATGTTACCTTTCCAATAATCCTCCTAGGATTTTTACACTAGCTTGTCGTAACGGATCTCACCAACTCAGAGGTAACTGAGGGATAAACATGAAGGCCAACCTTGCCCCTTCGGCAAAGGCCTCCTGCCGCAGCGATCAGATTCTCAAACCTGCAGCCACCTCACACCTTTCCCTGCGATGACAACCTAACTCACAGGCAGCGGCGCAGCCTCGCACCCCAAGGTGCGTCACGCCGCCCCGTTGCGAAAAGCCCCGCTGTGCTCATTTACATCTGCTTCAGACTCGCTCTCAAACAGAAGAATCAGTTCAAAGCATTTGTGTGGCTACCGCCTCTGAAGTTTATTTAAACATCCCAGCGTCCATGTTCTGCGCCAGCGCTGCAGACGGCTGGCAGAACAAAGAGTGAGCCACCATCGCCCTGCGTAATGAGGCTCCAAAGAAATATTCCCTTTGTTTGCACATGCTACGAGGTCTGAGTTGTCTTCATGGCAAAATGGTGATTATTTCTGAAATAAAAGGGTGGGTATGGCCGTTCTGTCAGCATTTAATGTGCTAATATGACTAAACTCTACACATTTTAATTCATTTTCCCCCATAGCTGCATGCTTATCAGTATATTTAGCTCTAGCATACTTCAGATTTTTTCTTATGTTCCATGTCAACCAGACAGATATCCCCCTCCTCTCCTGCCCAAAGGCATTTTATGCAACACATGCAATCTATTTTTAAATTCAGAAAATGGCACCTACTAATGTACAAGCTTAGAATATATAAATATATTTTTATAGCAAGCTTGGTGAGCAAAGCAGAAGAGAACAGATTAACAAGTAAATTATGGATTTCTATCTGTAATACTAATCTTTTTAAACAGATATGTAAGGTAAAAAAGATATGCTGTAATTAGTTTATTTAAATTCATCAATGCATTGGTTTTGAGAAAAACATATTTTACATTCTGAATACTTCATTATTAAATTCCAGAAAGCCAAAGTTTTTAGCATACCAAGAGATCTGCAAAAGCATTTTCTTACATTCCTCAAAACCATAAATCCCCAATGGCCTCCTTTTTGATCCTGTGGATCTACACGCAAATGGCTCTTAAATGTATTAGAGAGAGCATAACGTAACAGTCTTACTGGAAGTTACCTCTGTGCACCATTTGTCAATGACAATGTATACGGTTTGAAGAGATAAAACAAACATAAGCTAATGAATACAGCAAAAGTTAATTGAATACCAACCAAAGGATTCTATAGCTCCAAAGTAAAAGAGAAGTAAATTCCTAAAGTAGGAAAACTACCAATAATCATTGCTGTAAACGATCCTTTCAATTCCAGCAGAAAATGACGGAAATCAACCAGATATGCACGATCCTAACATATCACGAACACAGCCTGGCTAAAGGCCCTGCAAGGCCACATAACATCAATATAAATATCATGGCCTGTTTCTATCATGCACTTGTGGCACTTCACTTTACATTCCAGGAAGGTTTCTAAGTCTTTTACATCCTGATAACTTATAAACACAAAATCATTTTTCTGTACATGAAGCACAGGGAAGGACGTGCGTGTATTTCTCTAGCAGATTTGGAGGAACAGACCTGCATATGCAATGTTCAGATACGTTCACATTTTTTAAAATAAACATCTGTTAAGCCCGGATACTTTATTTTCAAACTATGCTTGAAACAACATCTCTGAACTTTTTGATTTTAAGAAAATAAAACTCAGTCAAAACATTTCATCCATCATATTTTAAAAATACACCTCTAAATACCAATCAAAAAAATAAAATGGCAGAACTACCTGCCTACACTGGAGAAAGAGGTGTCATATAGATCTAGACACAAAATCCTGCTTTTAGATTATCCCAGTTAATTGTGCTCCATGCACACACCAAGGCTTTCACCCCTCTGAGACTGTCTAGACAAAAAGTCCTCTTTTCAAGTAACCACTTGCTGTCCTGTGCAAATCTATTTCAACATCTATTTTCAAATAAAAGTTTGAGGTTTATTAGATTAATTTCTTAGTAACTTTTTAGTTAAAGGGAGTCACTCGAGTAGCCACACGTAGTGCCACACCAAAGCAGCACTAAGTTATTTTCACAGAATCACGGAACAGCTGAGGTTGGCAGGGACCTGTGGAGGTCACCTCATCCAGCTTCCCTGCTCAAGCAGGGCCACCTACAACAGGCTGCCCAGGGCAACGTCCACACGGCTTCTGAGCATCCCCAAGGATGGAGACTCCACAACCTCTCTGGGCAATCTGTTCCAGTGCTCAACATCCTCACAGTAAAAAAGTGTTTCCTTATCAATCCCAGTCCTTTTGGCCTGAATACACATGCAGACAAAATCTGAAGGCAGGCCTCTGGATCCATTTTTAACAGCATTCTCTGCGACTTTATTGCAGTCCACCCAGCAGGATGCTGTTTTCCTGGGAGGTGGGCAGCATGCTGCAACAGCTCCCAGGACGCCAGGGAACAGTAAGTGACACTGGATCTGAACAGACATGCAGCACTTGCATATCCCAACTGACACTTTAAGTCTGGCAGTAACTGCTGTTCTGCACTGGGACTACTGAGATTTCTTCTCCCTTGCTGAAGGGGCATCTTCACAGCACTGTGACCGCACGGACTGACAAAAGTAATCTCTTTCAAAAAAAAGAAAAAAAAAAAAAAAAAGAAAAAATTATGTTGTGATCAGCGGCTGGTGCAGAAAACGCGGAGTAAAGGGGTCTGCAGTTGCTGCACTCCGAGCCTACAGCATTCCGCTGCTGACGGAAGCACTACCAATCTTCCCCCCTCCCTACCCACAGCAAACATAAAAAATTTCCCTTAAAAACAAGTGATTAAGCCAGCGCTGCCCCGCTGGGCAGATCTCCCGCCC